CTCTGCCCCAATTTGAAGCTTTGATTTGACAAAAATTCCATTCTTGCAGCCTTGAGTAATTTTAGCTGCTTTTTCTTGCTGTTCTTTTGCCAAACACTCTAACCTGGAAAGTGGAACTCCAGTACCCCAGGAGGGTATTACTGACGTGATGCAGCCTGACAATATGTAACTCCTGTCTCTATCCTGCATTTCTACTCTCAAATATTCTATAAAGAACATTTTTTTTTCCCAAAGCTGCATTGTGCTGAAGACTCGCTTAATCTGCGGCCAGTAAGTGCTTTTTCTTCTCCCCACAAATGACCATTATTTTATACCTCTTCTTGCTATGAATTTCTCCAAACTGCAAAGTCTTAACACCCCCTTCACATTAAACTACATCTTCTGAATAATGCATATGGATTATGAGCTCTTATGATTTTTCTCATTACTTTGGTTCATCAAAATAGCTGGCCAATTAATTAAGGTGTCTGATAACTCAAATCTTGTTTTCTGGCTCACTCTCATGAGAGGGAGGTTTGTTCTCTTTGTTTGATTGCTCTTCATGCTGTGTGTTCATGTCTACCCAGACTTTTAAGTTGTGTCCATCATCATGAAAAGTGAGATGGTTGATAATTCTCTTCTAATTCTCAGAACAGATATTGTCTCGGCAACAACACCTTTTGGCCTAAAAAGCAGTGCTTGAAGCTTGACACATAATCTATGGATTTGTCCAATCTAATTACTGCCACTTGCATCAGTGTTTTTACAATACAGACATATATCTACTCAGTAAAATCACTAAAGCTACAGAGGCAGCTGCCAGGCAGTCATTCCGTTACTTCTGACTTGAAAATTATTTGAAAGATGCTATAGAGGTGGAAGGCTCTGAAAAACATCATCAATCCCTCAAACAATGTGTTTTCCTTTGATTCTGCTCATAGCCAAGTAATATTTTAGTGGATTAGACTCAATTTTTCACTAATTTAACTGTACTTTCTTGTAATTAAGAAATAAATCTARGTTTGTTGAAATCAGTCAGTAATAAAACTTCTACAGCAAAAACTACTGAGTATATMCATTTTAAAGACAATAGACTGAGAGTTGGGCTAAATTAACATGTGTTGACCACTGTGCAGCTGACAAACTGCTCATAATTGCCTTTAGTGTTTCTAACATGTGTGACCCTCTTCAATGKAGACACATTCCAGGACCAGTTGGCCACGTGCATTCACTGGGCATCTTGAATATGTTTCTGACACACATTCTCCAAGGAATTGCTCTGGAAGYCTGAAAATCATTATCATAAACCAGAAAATGTCTCCTTATATTTTTCTTGCATTTAAAATTCCTGTGAAGCCATTGGAAACCGGGCATACAAGGAGAGATCATATTTAGAAATGACCACTCTGTGTTTGTCTGCACCAGAGTTGCCTCCAGCTAACACCAGTGTAAATCACAAGCCTTTCACTGACATCTCTAAAATTAGATGCAAAATCAACTGCACTAAAAAAAAAAAATCAAAGGAATTAGGCTGGTTAGATGCTTTCATTGATTAAGGAATTCAAAAATATTATTTATTTCAACCTYAACTCATCAGTCTTCTGCCCAGTTTGCCCTGTCTTCACTGAAATAGGGAAACATTGGTTTTGCATTGCTGCCAATTTTGGGGTTACGGTGAGAGAAGATTGATAGTTACARCTTCTCCAAGCAGAGATCTCTGTCTGTACAAGCCTTATTCTCCACCACAACCCCTGGCTGTTTCCTTCTCAAGCACTGCAGCCCAATCCCAGGGATCCGATGGCTTCAGATCCCCTCCCAGGCCAGGGATGTAGCACGAGTGGTCAGGATTTGCTCCTATTAGTGAAATCCAGGGTGACACAGACTGTCCAAGCCTGGGGATATAAAACTGACCCTGCCTTTCCAATGGGTTTTAGCAGGTCTGAATGAACATCCTGGCAGGAGGACTGCAGAGCCAACAGGGAGCAAGGATAACTTCATTTTGGCTAAGGTTGCCAGTGAAATTAAGGAGAAAACAGCCCTGTCTCCTTGTGCCATCTATGTCTCATAAGCATCCCATACATTAATGTGGGATTTAATTTGAACGTTTAAAGCAGCCTGCATTAGGTTGTGACTGGGGGTCTTTTTATTCATCTTTTGTGCATGTTCTTCCTTGCAAATGTGTATTTGCTGCAGCACATTTKCAAAGGGAATCGAGAAAGAGAAAACTAAAAGCTTCATGTATTATTATTCCTGTTTAATTTAATATCAGCTTACCAGGTGGAAATTAAAATYATTTTTCTGTCACTGTTATCTCTCTTCACTTGGCAAAGATTGATTTCCTTCTTYCCTGCTGCTTACTAATAAGACATCTGAAAACTAAGATGGTTTTTATGTTTACTTCCTTGTTTAAATCAGCTTTCTTAACTAAGGACAGCTTTGGCAATATATTTGCTGTTTAACGTGTGATTTCTGCGTTGGCTCAGGCTCCACCAGTGACAGAACATCAAACAGAGTGAGGCTATATATTTTTAATTACTCAGGGATGCCCTCATGCATAAGTACATGCAAATTAMACAAACGGATTTCAAACCGGTTTTAGAACAGATTGCATGTTACACAATCAATCACATTTTGGGTTCAGAAATTTTGCATTATTTTGCTTCACATGCTGATGAGTACAGAGGTTATCATCTATCCCTTGACACTGCTACCATTGTGTCTGGCACTGCCAGGTTTGGTACCACTTTATGGAGAGCTGACAAACCAGGGAAGGCTGACAGCAATGCACAAATGCTTGAGTGTGAGAATCAGCTGAACAACTAGACTACATGGAATGACACCTTCCTGCAAAGGAAATACTAATGTCCAGAGAGTGGATTAGAAAACATTTGTCTCAAAGAATCGGACATAAGCACCCAGACATCTGCCTCCAGAATCTAGCACTCCTTAGAACTGGAAACAATAAACTAATGAACACAGTCGCTGTTTGGAGYTCGAACTGCATTGTGAGCAGTTGGTACTTGCACCCCGGTGGCATTACAGCTCTAAACAAGATGTAACTTTTTTTCAAAAGACAAAAAATCTTCARTGAAAGTCTTGCAGGACAAGGTGGYCRTATCAAAAGAAAAARGAGGGAAATAYGRCCATCTACATACTGCAGAYGAGGAACTAAGGCATTAGAGACAGGGACGGTGTGATGGGTATCCCTAAAGAGCTAATCATTCCTCCTGCACAAAAAAAAGCAGACTTTTTTGAAAAGTTGAGTGATGTGTCCTGCAACATATTCTCTTGAGATRTTATCTTATACCCTTTAGATATTTCACTGTATTGGAGGCCTCCTTATTTAAGAGCCTATTATTTCTCTCTTCTACTTTCTTTCCACTCCATCTTAAATCCCCATGCTCGGCTTTAACAGTTTTTCCTCTAGGCTGTTTATGCCTGGAATACCTATATAGCAGTATCTTACCTTCTTCCTCTCAAATTTGATTAATTTTCACTTATCCACTTTATATATACATATATATTGAAATTTTGGTCTTTCCTTCTCCCTCTTAATAAAGTTGCTGTTGTCCTTTTTGGGGGTGATGTCTCAAGGTTTTTTTCAGCCCTTTCTTACATTGTTCAATGACTTTCTTCTGTGTTTCTGTCTTTTTGATCCAACTGCACCCAGAACTGAAACTCAGYAAGCACCTTCCGTGAAGATGCGCCTGGTCTGTCCCCACTAGAGATCAAAGGCGACAAATCCTTGCATTGTACCAGAGRCTGCTCACATGGTGGGAGCTGCCCTATGTCCCACCGGGGTCTGTGTGCCTCCTTGGACCTGAGGGAAGGGTGGCTGCATCTCTGGTTGCCTCCCAGGGCAGGACTGCTCTTGAGGCATGTGTTTCCTGGCCTGGAGCCTGGTCCTGGTCACTGTGCCGGGCAGGCAGGTGTGTCTGGACGCGCTTCGGGCGCTGAGTGCCAAGCTTGGTGTGCACCTGATGTGCAGCTAAACGGAAACTTCTGGCGCTGCACAACTCGGGGTGATTTGAAAACTAAACCCGAGCTGCTGCTGGGGGTGACAGTGCAAGCCATAGGCTTTCATCCAATTTCCATCTTCCCGTCCTATTTTCGCGCTATCTGTCCTGATGCTCCTTTGATGCCAAAGGCCACAGAGCCGCTGGGAGAAACTTGGCAGGTTGTGACCCATGCTGACCTGCCTGAATTAAAAAAAACTCTTTATTTTATAGAGGAGGGGAGAAGTGACCTTTCTGCTTAGAAAACAGAGACGAGCCTCAGCGGTCCTCCCCGCCGCTGGCCCCCGCTCCAGGTAGATCTCTGATGGGAAATGTGGGTGGCGGAGATGCCAAGCGCGGGCGGAGGGGGTGGGCGGGAAAGGAAATCCCGKTCCCTCGCACCCCGCTACAGTTACAAGCACAGCACTCACCGGCCGGCGGGGCTCCCCCGCGACGCGGCGGCGGCGGGAGGCGGGGGGACCGCAGGAGGCGGC